GGTGTAAAAGCAAAAATGCACAGGGTTTCTTCCTTCCAACCCCTTGGCAAAAGGACCACATCACTACCTATCTGCGGATAGGAGATACTGGGTTTTTTCCGCACTCATATTTTTCCATTGCTTTTTGTTTACTTTTGTTATGAATGCAAACTCAGAGCTCAATAACATCCCTCACAACTACAGATCTTCATATACTGTGGTCTCTGACTGACCACTGTGAACCAGACCAAAGTCAGATATCTTCATCCTCTGGCTTCTGCACCCAGCTTCCTGGCCTAAGATCACAGAACCATCAATAACTTCCACCCAGCTACAGCAGAACAATTTGTTAAGTGCAAGGGGATCAATAAATCAGACCCTAAGCCCAGTCCACTACTATTCCAAGTTAATTACAAAGGATTATTTTCCTTTAGGCCAGTACCTATACAAAATAATATTGTTTAGATGAACCAATTATTCAGTTTCAGTTCCCTCTCCATGTTACACGGGAGTTTGACTGAACCAATTTTAACCAGAGCTCCAATCAATACAATCCCTTGTTGTGGCAGAATATGCCAGCCGTTCACCCGCCTGAGAAAAATCCCCTCCAGAATGGACATAGTAGCAATATAAACATGTGTGGGTGCAAAGGGGATTTTTAAATGTTCTTCTATTGTGTTTATGAATCTCACAAAGCTGCTCTGTATCAGGAGTGGGGGAGGAGAAAGCATCAAAATATTAATCAGTTACTTATCTTCTGACATGTTCTGGATCAACATCTGGTGTGTGTGTAAGTGATGAAGTATGGCATTTGCCACAAAGGCTTATTTAATCTTCTCTTCCCAAACTGGGCAGGCAAAATTAGCACTCTTAAAAATTAAGTTTCCAGATCCAATTTTTTCTCTTTAAAATAAATTGCCATCATTGTATAGGCTGTCTGTTCTATTTTGGAAGATGTTTTTTGTCTGAGAAAAGACTGATCTTAAGTAGATTATCTATGGGCTGTTTCCTACCACTTTTTGTCTTCCCTGCAGTATCTTACTGCCAGGGTTTAGTAGACAAGTATAGTCTAGGTTCAGCTGTTTTATTTCTACTTCTATCAGTTCAAACTGAGATAGCTCACACATCTGTTTTATTTCTGAAAGCACTGCATAGGAAAAGTGTCCAGTTCATTCTAATCAAGCATAAACATTCCTATAAATAACTAAGGACCTAACGAAACAATTGTTTGGAGGAAATGAAAGTGTGTTTAGAAACTCAAATTCCTCTATACTGTATGCCTGAGCTGTTCCAGTTTGAATGTCTTCCTGACAGCATGGATCAGTTGCTCTAAGATGCTGTCCCTGGAGTCAGCAAACTGAAACTATAGCAGGAAATCCAGGTATTAACATCATACTATGTGCTAATTATAAGCCATCATTTCACATTCTGACATTATTCACTTCTAACCTCTTTTAACTAAATCACATATTTGCTTTCTAATCACAGCTTGACAGGAGAGAGTGTCTGACACAAGACAGTGATGTGATCTTTTAATAAGACAGCAGTTCAAAGATTGCAGCTTTTACGCATAGTAACAACCTTAGTTTGATTTGCTTCTCCATAAAGAAGTTGCAGTTTCTGAAAAAAAGAGGAAAAGTTTAAATCACTTAAAAAGTTTCAAGTTCCTGACTTGTGTTCCGGTTTCAGCTTCTTACTTGAAGTTACATGTTAGCCATCTTAACCTGTTTTGCAAAATTTCTTTCCTATAGCTACAGTCTCTGTAAGCATTATTAAATATTTTCCACCTTCTACCTTTTTATTTTAACATACCCTGGAGCTTTATCTGGTGATTACTATCAGGTTGGACATTTGAACTTCTTTTGTATACAAACTTTGTTACTTTTTTTTTTTTTTTTAAATCTGAATTTTTATATCATTGAATACTGAGGTATCCTACCACATCTCTCAGCTCACTCATGAGTGGATTTTTTTTAAAAGCAGCATCAATTTATTTTTTTTTTTACTGGTTAAATATTAGCTAGTAAGAAACTAAGAGAGTCCACTCTTTCGTGATAAAAATAATTTATTTTGTTTTTTAAAACAGTGTCAGTAGTTTTTTCCCTACTCCAACTACATGGAAAATGACTGAGGCAATAGCCCTTTCCTTGCAGGCATACTAATGTGAAGGACAGCATGGATTGCTGTTACTTTTTGAAATGTTTTAAATACCCATTGTGTATCCTGTTTTTCTGGCACTAGATAACTTTAGAGTTGCCAAGACTTGCCATTTATTTTATTTTAATAAAGAATCAATACGCCAAATCTTGACTCCCGGCAGCTGATAATTTAGGATTACATTTTTAATTTCCAGCTGCTGTCTTTTGTCTATCTGGTTGTTATTTTTCATTATTATTTGCTCTTTTCTTTCTGTGACAGCAAACCCTTCAGATACGATTACCAATTCAGCAATTTCCCTGTTTGCTGAATAAGACCTTTTGCTATTGATCACCACAATGACTAAACCACACACAGAAATATCACTGGTCAAAGAGCCACACACTCCTCTACGGTACAAGATGCTCAGCAGACCTGTAGAAAGCCTGACTAAAATAGACCAAAACAGAGGCTTAAGCAGGTTATATAAAATACATTAACCATGTAGGTAGGAGAGGCTTTGCAAATAACTGACTTTACAGTTGAGAAGGCTTTTAGCAGAAGTGGGGAGGCTGGGGAAATACAAACCTGCACATCGTAAGTCCCATTTAATAAGACAGGCCTCTGGGAATTGATGTCCTGCAGCACCCCTGAAAGCACAGTGCGGTTGACTTTCTGGAAGTCTTTGGAGTGGCTGAATTGCACCATGTTGTGGAGAGCCAAAATTTTAGTGTCGAGCTCAGCATCCTGCCTGGTGCGGTTGTGCAGTCCTAGGTGGTACTTGCGGAAGTGTTTGATGAGATCTGTGGGGTCGTTCCCATAGTAACCATATCCACAGATGTTGCATTTGAAATCCTGAAGCTCTGGAGACAGAGGCGCCGTATCTGGGTTATCATTTACCAACAAATCTGCTTTAGATTTGTTCAGCCTTAAACCCCCATCTGAAGGCACTTGTGGGTTTTTTGAGGCCATGGGGACCGGGCTTGAGCCTTGGCCATCAGTTTGACCACTTTGCACTTGCACTGTTTCATCTGAAGCTTTTGGCGACATCTGATGCTCCTCATTTGTCTCCGCTGCATCTCCTGACGGGGTACAGACCACATCTTGGGTGTCATCTGCATCTGATTTTTGAGGAGACTTCAAGGGCTCACAGATTCCCCCAACAGCTGGAGATGAGAAAGCCAGCATATTTCTGTCTGTCACCTCATCATGAGGGAAGGATGGAACATTTCCTCCCTTATTGTGGCTTTCATAATTGAAGCCAGCCTTTTCACTCAGCACTGAGCTTTTCAAGTCCTTTTTAATGCTGGAAGATGGCTCTTGGACATGCGTGCAAAGTTCCTCCTTGTTATTTAACTCTGCCGCATCACCCTGGTCAGTGTTTTCTTGCATCTGCTCTGCAGAAAATTCTTTTTTCCTTCCAGACTCTTCACTTTCAGTACCTGTAGACTCAAGGGTCTGTACCTCACCTTCACTAGCAACGTTTCTTAGAGGGGGGTTCTTTTTCCGGACCATATCTACCACAGAAAGAAAAAAAAAAAAGGAAGAAAAAAAAAAAAGGCAAAAAACCCTATAGAATTATTCAAGATATGAAACAGATTATAAACCTGGCACTTCTTAAAGCATTCTGAATACATCAGCTTTTCAGAAAATTTTTGTCAAACAGATTTTTAGACTACGCAGAAAACTGGAATTTTACATTTTTTAAAAAATTACCACGCTGAGACTGAACTGAACTAAAAAGGAAAATTTAAAGCCTACAAAAACACTGTCATCACAGTGAGTGAAATAGATTTCTTTATCTTTTTGGAAAATAATGGTCTGGCACAAATAATTTTAAATGAACGTTCTTTTTAAAATAATTATAAAAAAATAAGGGAAAAATAAACTTTTGCAGTCTAATGCTAATATACTGTACAACTACATATAATGTAGCTTCACAAAAATACACCTAAAAGACATAATCAGGAGAACTTAAGTTATTAGAAAGGAAACAGATTTAGGAGAGTAAGTAACTTGAGGTTTCAGAGAAAGTATTTTTCTTAAGCAGGTATGAGTTTCTCTATAGCAAAAGATCCCCCTCCTACTGCCCATAAACTTCAAACAGTATTATATGGATATTCTAGTCTGGCCCCACAGTCCATTATTCATGTAATTAGTTCTATTTGCCAAACAAAGAGAAACTAACTTTATTAGGAAACCCGTTGTCAATAAAATTTTACAGGCTTGGATCCAGACATTTGACATCGCTGTGTGGCTGAGTCGGGATATACCCTGAAAACACCTGGAATCCACATGTATCTAAAGAGCCAAACCTTCCTCTGCCCAGTTCTCCTTGCAGACATAGCCACTACTGCTATATCTGCAAGGAGACTTTCAGGATCCATTTAAGAAAGCTGAGGCAGGACAGCAGTAAGGATCAGAGAGAAATGAGTCTGCCACCAGTGAGTTACCTGAGATTATGGAAGAATAAGTAATCAGACTACACTAAACCAAATTCCTCATCCACTACATATCGTCATCTTCCTCAGCCTACTTAGAGCAAATATATATATATGAAATTTCTCTGCACTCTCCACTGTGTGGTTCTGGATTTGATATTCATCACCAGCTGGTTTGATCCATTTGTGTTCACATGCTAGCTACGGGCAGAAGACAGATGTGATACAACTTTTTCTATGCTCTTATCTTTGCCAACACTGTATACAACGATAGATGTTTCTCTTTGCCGAACTGCGTGTGGTCCGATGGCAGCAGGCTGCAGTACCACACATGAGATGTGAGCTGCAGACTCAAGCAGGAGCCCCATTCCCAGGCCAGCCAAGGCCGGGCGCCTGCAGAGGCACTGGAGATACATACTGCTCTGCAAAGGGAGGACCACCTGGCGATTCTGGGAGCAGCACTGATGTGCTCCAAATGGTGCTGTATCCAGACCTTTAAAAGCCGTGGATGACCTTCTCAAAACAGCACTTTGAGAAGTACGGCTGGGGACAGAGGTTAAAAATAAAAGAACAGGCGTCTGTACATCCTCTTATTTACATCTGCTCCACATGAAAGGGCACTGTATGCTGTGTTGATAAAAACAGACAACTTCTCAGGGGAAGTGTTCAGCTTGTGTCTTGGGCTGGCTCTGTTGTCTTTGTGGTTGAGCTGATCCACAGGCAGCATGGGCTACAGTGAGGCAGCTTTCACACAAAATGCCAGCTCGTGTTACAGAAATTTTGACACTCCGTGTGGTCTTAATAGGTTTCTCAAATGCCTACTGTGATTTCTTACTGTAGAAGACACACATGCTTGGGAACCAAGTGTCTTCTCTTTAATGTCAACCACACCTACCAGGATATGTATGCACTGAATTTTACTTCTTTTTGTCCCCAATAACTTCTGAACCATGAAGTCACTCAGTACTAAGAGAAAGGGAAGATTTCCTGTTGTGGTAAGAGAACTATTACAATACAGACTCAGCCTACTAAAACAACATGTGCACATATATAATTCAAGGTATAATGATAGTCTTCAGCCTTTTAGCATTACTGTTTCTCTGTGGGACTTCACGAATGCTCTTGGTTAACACACACTAAAAATATTTGTGAGCATCTCTGGTAGGTGTTCAGCTAGGTGTGTATTTTTCTCCTGGTTACACATCCCAAACCATTTTAAAAATAATTTCTGTTTCAAAACAGTTCATGGCAGAGGACAGAGAAAGGAGTTCTGAGTATGCAGTGAAGAAAAATCAGAAATCGAGAAAGTAAACATCATGACTGTTACCTCAGTCAAAATTAAACAAGACTAAATGCAATGTTTTAAAATGTTTTTGTTACAGATATTTTTGGCAGATAAGGAAAGTTTAGAGATTTGCTATCTTCATGGCAACTGACAGAAGAGTCAGAGAAAAGGACAGAAAAAAAAATCCTATAAAGCAAAGCAAAGAAAAGAAAAATCTGGACTGTATACAGGCTAACTAGACACTACTCCAGATCTAGATACTTTGGTTCAAATTTTCCTGACATAGCTGTGAGTCTGTGTGTTAATGGAGGGGGAAAAGAAAACTTATCTGCCTAATGGAGCTTCTTCATGTAGTATTCTACAGTTGGAGAAAGAAAGAAAAGAAGATAACATGGATTTAAATATAAAAGCTTTCTTAAGTTGAATTTATAAGTATTTTCCCCTCTTTTCTTTCAGCTTTAGAAAAATCATCTGTCATTTATTCGGTTGATATCCACTCAGGGGGACAGTAAGAAAAGACACAGGGCTTATTTTTTTGTCACTGAAATTCCACCACTATCATTTTTCAGAGACATTTATGTAAATAAAACTACATTTGTGATACTCCTAAATTGAAGAAGCCATCCCCTAGCAAGTCATAAGTTAGATACAGAAAGAATATAGCCACTCTGAAGTTAGTATCTCTAAGACAAATAACAGATTGCACAATGTTTTATTGTGTGCCAAGAACGTTTTCAGTTAACAATTTCACTTGAAAAAATGGATCACATACTTGTAAAATCATACCCAGCATTGACTTCATAAGGCATGTGGCTTTAGAGTGCTTTTTACAATTATTAATTCTATTAGTCAACTAGCAGGCGGGCTAATGCAATTGTCTTAGAAGATGCACGGAAGACACAGAAGACATTTTGAGAGCTGATCTGTATATCTGCAAAACAAAACAAAAAAAGGTTTTCCCTCCTAAATTATGCATTCAAAGTATGGCTTTTACTTAAAAACATTATTACGTCTATTGTACATTCACATGCATCTATTAGTGGGCACTATACAAATAGTGGCTACTGTTCTCTACCTCCATTAAGCATGAGAAATCCCATGGCCGCCTTCTCCTCAGACAGACACACATGCTCTTGCACACACACACACACACACACACAGAGGAAGAGAGACAAAAATAATCTCAGCCGATGTTCACCAAAAAACAAATTTAAAGTAAGTGTTGAAAATGAGCTGGATAAATGCTGTAGAAAATAAAAGTGCCGTAAAAATTCACATATATTAACAGGTATTGTGCATCATAATGGGACTGCCCTAAAGAGATAGATAATGGACTACAAATAACTGGTTCACATCCAGGCTCTGCCGTCAGCAATTGGAAGTTATCAACTGCTGTCTGCCTTGTGTCCCCCTTAAAACAAATTAGTGGTGTTACTTTCATTGTTAGTGGGCAACTTCCCAAATCTCAAAAACGTCATCACAATAATAAGCAGGTTTGCTGGGTGTTAGTAAAGAGGCCAAGTGATAAACAGCTATTGGGACTGAACTACCTTTTCATCACTAGAAATGGTCATCTTCCCAAATAAAATAATTATTAAGCCTGATGTGAATGAAAAGACTTCTTGAGTTGAGGGAACAACTCAGGTTGCAGAACTACTTTTTGGGCTCTGTAATCCGAGGTTTAGTACCTTATTTTCATTATGCTGAAATTACTTGTAAACCATGTGCTGGTTTTTGGTTGGGTTTTTGTTTTTTGGTTTGTTTGGTTTTTTGGGTTTTTGGGGTTTTTTTAACCTGATACGATCATTCTCAGGTATTTTAAAGTGGAAATATTTAGTTTCCCTCAAAACCAGCCAAGGTTACTCTACACAGTTCATGCATCTGCAAGGTACAGACTTTTCTGTTCAGCAATCACTCACATCAGTTTATTCCTGGAAGCAACTGGAAGAAGTGGAAACTTCTGCTAAAATCAGTCTGTAATTCAGGATAATGAACTACCATAGCGACTAGTCTACTTCTTTTAAAAAATAAAAAGAATAGGCAAATTCTGATAATCAATAGTTTCTTATATGTGGTGAAGATAATGGCTAATAATCTGCTGATCATCAGCTCCACAATGGGTCATTGTTGTTGCTCATTACTTTTATTGAACGTGATGACTTGTCATCAAAGCCTATTTCAACAGCATGGTTGCTGCCTTGTGCTTGCGCTGCAGGTTTAGGTCAGACCTTAGTCATATGCTCTTTTTAACAGAACAATACATTTAGAAAGATGTCTGAATTTTGTGAGATGCCACTGACTAACCTTTGTACAAGTGGATGCACAAGCAGACAGGAGCAAACTGAGTCAAGGGTCTACAAAGACTGTGATAGTATCAGTCAATATGCTGCAGCAACAAAAAGTTAAATGAAAATACTCATTTATATTCAACAGGCTCAAGTAGGACTTCTTTGTTAAGGGGTAGTAAAATTAATACTTTTACACTCATATATATTACACACCCACACACAGACATATAATGCACATACGGCGCTTAAACATCAATCATTTTGCCAGAATAATGCAGAAAAAAATCATTAACTCTCAGTGTCTCAGCTTAATATATGTCTAATACTTACCTATCTCACAGGAGTGTTGTGAGGCTTAATTAATTAGTGTCTGTAAAGCACTTTGTGATCCTCTAATGAAAGGTGCTACATAGCACAAAGTATTATTAAAATCATTAGGACCACAAAAAAGCCCTGTGGAATTCCAGCCTACACTGTCTGTTGGGGTTGGGAGTGATCTTCTTATTAAAAGGAGACCGTCAAACTAATTTTCATAATTTTTTCAAGATCTTTTTTTCCCCCTTTGCTGTTGTGATAGCACGTTAGTAGCTAGAAATTTAATCTTATCATCTTAATAACATATACTCATGTAGTTTGTTACTGCAGGGCTAGAGAAGAGAACAGGGCTTTTGGCACTCATGTGGCTTTCCCTTTTAAGAAAAAAAAAAAAAAAAAAAAAATTAA